ATCTGAAGTATAGATTCATGATCACATTATTTGCAAATCAGCATAAGATGGGATGACACCATATCTAGAACGGCATGTTATCTAATAAATCGTTGTTCATTTAAATGTGCGTTTTTCATTTCCAATATTAAAGAGTAAAGAGTATATCCCGAACGCAGGAAAGCTGATTGGTCGATTGATGTTGATCAACTCCAATCACAATTTTAGCAAAAAAAAAAAAAAAAAAAAAAAAAAAAAAAAATCCCCACATTTGATGGCGGTGATCAAGAGTTTGTGTTGAGCAGGAGAAACGGATCAGAAGGCCCTGTCTAGTGAAAATAAGTCCTTCGGTTGATACCATATTAGCAAAGGTTCAGTGTCACAGTAGTAGATTCCTTACCGCTCAATGACCTTCAGTGCAGAACTATTTGCATGTAGTAATTCGTGCAATGTCTGACGTAATCTCTATAATCTCGTCCATGACCATTATAAAGCATGAGCTATACAATCCCGTTGATAACGTTTTCTACAGAATGAACCTCGTAATATTAACATTGTTTTCCTCGGCAGGAATCTCATTAAGTAAGTTGTTTATCATTATGCATAGAATTATGATGCTCTAAACAACGTGGACAACACTATTGATCCTAATAATTATTTTGATAAATTCCAATTCGCAAATCTTTATCCTCTGTTGCAGTGATGTAATACACTCTGTGATATATTCCGTGAATCTAAAAAATGCAAGTTAAAACCATAGTTATAATCTGCGCTAGTTTTTAAGTCACCGATTTCTGTATAAGGCAATACTCAAAATCATTGTGACGTCACATAATAAAGTTTACCATCAATTTTGATAAATTAGTATGTGATATACATTGTAATCCACGATTTATAAGTAGTAAACATCACGTTCGATTCAAGATGAACAAGAGAAGACTGTCATTGTATTAAAGAAAATTTGAACTCAGATGAAGAGCAGTAATCAAGTTCAAAATACATTTAAACAATGCATACAAGAGAAGAGCAAATATGGATAAAAAATTCAGAATGTGGGATCAGGAGCCATGGAGGAGAACACATCACCTATATTGGACAAATTTAACTGAAAAAACCCCCAGTAAACAAGCATGAATAAACGCCTTATGCCATCTTTAACAAATATTGTTTGGTTGCTCTCTTCCCTTTGATTAACAATTGGCCCTCCTCAAAAGTTATACCTATATTCAAAGACATGATGTTTTGGATTATTTCTTTTTCAAGAAAGTTTCAATTTTGTTGATGGAATGTGAAAAAAATTGAAAGTTTCTGAAATAAAAATATTTTTTCACCGACCTACAAACCCAGTAATTTTACCTTGAGTCGGGAGAGGGCAAACAAACCTATTTTAAAGACGGTTTAACAATTACATGTAGTATAAAATCGTCAGTCAACAACGTCACGATAAATCGAGTAAAAATAAAGTCTTGGTAGAACATCAACTGGAACCCAGAATACTTCTTTGTATGAAAGGATTTTATGAAATTAAGGATCCAGTTTGGGTTTGAAAATTCAATTTCATTGTTTAAATGTTCAAAATATTTAATTTTGACACTTAATTTTGAAGAATTTACCCATTATAAAGGGAGTTATAGGTACAGAATACAGATTCCGATATCTCAAATACCACGTAGATTTTAACTTATAGAATCAAATCACAATTTATAATTTAAAAATGTGTCTCACAATCCAAACCAATGTTGATACCTGCTTTTTCAGCACGGCCTAGAATATACCTATCGTGAAATCTATCTAATTTTTACCACTTTTTTAAATTCATGTTTGGCCTTGCTTGCGGTAATCTTTAACAGAATGCATTATGTAATTAAAATTATGACACCAGTTAAAAGATCATGACTTCCTAAATGATGTTCATTTAGAGTTACAAATCCTGTCCCATACTCGGCACTTAGGGTCATTGAGCAGTGAGGGATCTTTTTCGCGCCAACACCTATTATGGCACGGGATCCCGGTTTATACGGTCTCATCCGAAGGACTGGTCTCCATGTCCCACGGTGGGACGTAAGGTTCAACTTCTTACTCCACGACTCCTGAGCAGACGCTCTAACCACTGAAGTTTTAAAGTAATAGTCCATGAACATTTGAAAAATACAAAATGTGAAATGCAATTTGAAATTGTGGACTACACGACTAGACCTCATTGTGACTAGTAATGCTAATTATATTTAGTGACTTTATTTAATTCCTATGTTGGCATTTTGGAGTCTAAGAAAAAAAAACAGGTTGTTTGGACAATATTTTCTTTCGTAAAGATTGTCGTTTAAAAAGCATATGATCTGCGATATCAATGATCACAGATCCAAGCTTCTTTATACTTTGGTGCCTAAGAATCCAAATATGGACTTTCAATGACTTTCAAACTGACGTTTTAGCGAGGCCAAGTCTAATAAAAGTGCACATGACTTTGTGAATCTTTTTTTCAATTTCATGCAGCCATATGTGTGAAAGTACACCTTTCCCAAATATTGCAATTTTAATACAAACAAGTTGATGAAACAAGAATATCAGCGTTCTCGTTTAAAGTCATCATTTCGTAAATACAAAAGCAAATACAATTTATCATATAACAATTCAGACAAGGCCCCAGGATCATGAAACAAACTTAGACTTAATTCAAATTTTTAATCGACTGTGAAATATTTATTGTTAATTGTATTTATCTCTGATTTTGGAAATAACAACACTTTTGTAAAACAATATTTGGTAACAGTTTGTTTTTGCCTGTTTGATTTCCACAACAATTTAGTACACACAAGGATTTTGACTTAAGCTATATTACAGTTACGTTGGAGTTTATACCATTACAATTACCATTACTCTCAATCATAAAATTACATGTGTAATTAAATTACAATTACTTTGTTAAAGTAATTAATTACTTTATATATTACATTTTATTGGAGAAAAACAAAACTTTTATGTGACCATCTGATTTATCTATAAATTATCTTTCTCATACTTTGTGTTCAGTCATTGTGCTTTGCCTCGAGTCCATAAATCAGAGTTTAATCATGTTCAACAGTCTACAGTTGACAAAGAAAGTGAAAAAGATTACTTTCAGTGTTGTCGTTTTGTTTAGTCTCTCGTGTTATTTAGTTCGTCTGTTTTTTTCCAAATAATAAACTGTAAAGTGATATTTAATAAATTAATAATTCTATAAATGTAAAACATATTATGTATTATTCATTTAGTGAATCAGCAATTGTAATTTTTTGGGCAGGCATCAATCAAGATATATTATTAAATTGCAATATATCATTACAATTAAATGTGATAACTACTAGTACCTAAACGTAGGCTTAAAGTTAGAGAGACTCATAAGCTAACAAAAATAAATAATCGACAACATCTGTATTACCATTTGGTCTTAAATCTCCCTATTTGTCTTCAAGTAGATCATACTGATCTTGTATCTTGCTTACCCAGTCCATTTCACCTAAATGAACTCTTTGAAAAGAAAAAAAAATCAAGTTTGTATCTTAATTGGTAGTCACAGTATATTTATACAAAAATGTATTAGTGTCACTTGTTTGTGGATATCTTTCAAACATGATTATTTCTGTTAATATATTTTGTCTCTCTTCACTTTATCTTATAACCGTCTTGTCAAGAATATTTCTTTTAAAAAACAATAATTAATTTTGTCTATAATTAGCATTGAAGAAACATTAAAAAAAGATGCTTGAGTTTCTGACTGAGAATACCCATGTTGTCTTTGAAGACCAGTTCTTCCAACAATCCGTTTGAATTCCAACGGGCACTAATTGCGCCCCATTTTTAGTAGATTTAGTTTTGTATTTATTTGAAGCAGAATTTATGCGTGAAAAGAAGAAAACAATTGTTATGGCCTTCAACTCGACAAATAGATATATCGACGATGTATTGTCAATTATCAGTGTTTATTTCCATTCTTGTGTCGATACAATATATATCCCAGTGAGCTTGAGATAAAAGGTACCATATTTGGATATATTACCTGAAATGAAAAAGACGTTAAGGGGGCTAGAGGATCAACTAATTATTTTTTTTTATTAACCACCAGATATAACTTAAATTTTGGAATATAATATCTTAAGCTGTCAACTATCATTTGACAAAGAAAACTTTCATAAATTTTAGCTTTAAAATTTGATCATTTTATTATATCTTTATAAGAAGTTCTTCTTTTAATGGAGATCAAAACAGTCTAAAAATAGCCACGACCACGCAGCCCCCTTAGTGGTTAGCTATCCCGAGCTCTATGATAAACGTGATGATTTTAACTTTTCAATTGTCAACTTCCCTTACTCATGTAGCAATATATCTTCATCACCTGCATACGGAGTTTATATCTCTAAGTTGTTTCCATACGCAAAAGAATGATGTACGTATATGCAATTTTTAAAACGAGGTAAATCATTGACAAACAAGTTGATGTAACAAAAATATCAGCCATCCTGTTATTTTTCGTAAGTTCTTTGGTCGATACAATTACAATAGAATTTATAACTGAGTCAAATGCTGAATGACGTATTTCATACTATTGTTGTTTTCCGAACATGACAGGGAGCACACGGAGGGTGTGATCTGTAGGCATGGAATGCTTACTTATCCACGGCACCTGATCCCACCTCTTCATATGTTTTGGAGGTCCATGTTTGCTCTGCTCCTATTTTATATTTGTATTAGACTTTTCACTTGAGTATTATTCGTTATCTTATATTTCACCTATGCTCATGACAGCATATAAGTCTTTGTATATTGACAAAAAGTCATACCACCTCCAAACTGCTACACTGTGAACTGGAAATTCCGCTATTGGGGTTGTCCTTGCCACCATATAAATAGTTCGTACTACTTGTATTTAATTCCCCAGACATACTTATATAATAAATTACTAGTATTTGTTCAAAAGAAAGATGACAACCGGTTGAAGATCAGACTTACTCAAATTTACCCCATCAACATTAACTTAAAGTATTTCATCTATTTGAAATTATGTATAACGATCAACTTTTGATTTGACTTCAGCAAGCGCCTCTCACAGTGACCATCATCATGTTCCTCTAATTAACTGCCCGTCTTGTCAACACCACGTCTGTGATTTCAAGAACACCATCCAGTGTGAAGTTTGTCAAATTTATGTTCCACACCACGGGCAACCTCCACAAGACACAAGGTGTATTCCGGTACGTAATTGGATTCGTCACTCTTTAGCTTTTGGACAATTTTAGTAACATCCTCTAATATGAAAGTAGTAGATAGCAATTTGAAATGAAACCGAAATGTGTTAAATCTACAAACATCATTTTATATAAAATTCATTTTGAAAATCTAATTAAATCAATCCTTCACAAATGGACTAGAATCAAAATTTATGAAATATGGTGAAAACCAACAGCATTTAAACTTCAATTAAAGAATACAAATTGCGGTCTGAGAAAACGTGGACGTCTAAGAATATCAGACCGATATTAGCCGCCGTCAAATTACAAGAAAGAGTAGCTCTTTTATTTACGCAGAATATTTTGACTTTAATAGTATCACCAGTATAATTTTGTACAAATACATTTGTCAATAGCAAAACGCATATAGTTGCAACATAAATTTGTACATGTTATAGTCTTGAGATAAAATTCATTATATCGACAAAAAACTTGTAAAATGATGACTTCAAATAATACTTTTAATATTCATGTTTTATCACATCGTTTGTCTATAGTTTTCCTCATTAGAGAAACTGTTCACCAAGCTGTTTAATAGACATGATGACTTACTTTTCAATCATCAACTTCCCTTTTGCAGCAATACACCTTCATCACCTGCATACGGAGTGTATATATCTCAGTTGATTCGATACGCAAGAGCATGCTCTAGGTATGAACAATTTCTGAAACGGGATAAATTATTGACAAACAAGTTGATGAGACAAGAATATCAGCAGTCTCGTTTAAGACATCATTTCGTAAGTTCTCTGGTCGATACAATGAGCTTGTCAGCAAATACAATTTATCATTGAGCCAAAATCTGACTGACGTTTTTCGTACCAAATTGTTACGCCATTTTTTACACAATGAATTGACGACGGATTTTTTCGTTATTTCCCGGTCATGACAAGGAGCACACAGCGGGTGTGACCAATCGGCAGGGGATGCTCACTCCTCCATGTCACCTGATCCCACCTCTGATGTTTTGGAGGTCCGTGTTTGCTATTTTCCTGTTTTGTATTGTTTATGAATTTTTGATATTGAATACTGTTTGTTATCTCCATATGTTTTTTATTCAGTTGATCAATCACTTGTGTATTGAATCAAATATCCGAGATTAATTTTCTTGTGGTGAAGGGATATTGAGATAAAACTAAATTTAAACAGCAAATTCAGTTTATTCAATGTTTCATCTTTGTCCCAAAATACTGTATACAGGTTTTTTTTCGCGACATATGTTTTTTGATATTTTTAATTTTTCAATTCAAGATTTTGCGCTATTACATTATTTTGATCGGTAAGGTGCAAATTAAGACCAATATCATGCTTTTTATATTTAGACACCAATAATTTGTTTCCTCGTTTTGTGATGTCTAATTTCTCTAACACAGATCAAAATTACTACAACACTAATGCAACCTTAGGAATTCATAAAAAACACGAGGTTGTGTTGATTATTTTTATTAAATACCATTTACAGACTGGACATTGTCATTCGGACGATCATCATCAGTTTTGCTGTGATACTGAAGCTTGTGTTGGTAAATACCTTCTACTTCTAGTTACCTTTTCAACTTTATTTTTCGAATGAAAATAGAGTCAAGGTCATTTTTAGATTTTTTTCATTTCAGCTTCCTTTTTTCGAGAATTGCACATTACCAGTACCACAACCCAACAAATAACTAATACAGGTGATTTCTTTCTCTCAAAAAGTTTAAAAACAAATGCAAAAGAAACTCTAAAACGTTTTCTATTTTGTCTATTTGAAATTATGTATAACGATCAAACTTTTAATTTGATTTTAGCAAGCGCCCCTCATGAACACAATTTTCATAAACATAATCATGTTCCTCTAATTAACTGTCCGTCTTGTCAACACCACGTCTGTGATTTCAAGAACAGCATCCAGTGTGAAGTTTGTCAGATTTATGTTCCACACCACGGGCAACCTCCACAAGACACAAGGTGTGTTCCGGTACGTGACAATAATCATTTTAAACTTGCTGGAAAAAAACTTATATTCATTGCTAATGTGATGTAACTGGATTCGTCACTAGTTAGCTTTTGGACAATTTTAGTAACATCCTCTAATATAAAAGTCGTAGATAACAATTTGAAATTGAATCGAAATGTGTTAAATCTACATACATTATTTTATATAAAATTCATTGTGAAAATTTAATTAAATTAATCCCTCACTAATAGACTGGAACAAAAATTTATGAAATATGGTGAAAACGATTAGTATTTAGACCGATAAGAAGCTCTATTATGTACGCATAATATTTTGACTTTAATAGTATCACCAGTATAATTTTTGTACATGAACTTTTGTCATTAGCAAAACGTATATAGTTGTAATATCAATTTGTACATGTACAAAAAATTTAGGGAAAAAATTCATTATCTCGACAAAAAAACTTGTAAAATGATGACTTCAAATAATACTTTTAATATTAATGTTTCATCAAGTCGTTTGTCTATTGTTTGCCTCATTTGAGAAATTGTTCACCAAGCTCTTTGATAAACGTGATGACCAACATTTCAATCATCAACTTCTCTTATGCAGCGATATACCTTCATCACCTGCATACGGAGTGTATATATCTCAGTTGATTCGATACGCAAGAGCATGCTCTAGGTATGAACAATTTCTAAAACGAGGTAAATTATTAACAAACAAAGTGGTGAGACAAGAATATCAGCAGTTTCCTTTAAGTCATCATTTTGTAAGTTGTATGGTCGATACAATGAGCTTGTCAGCAAATACAATTTATCATTGAGTTAAATGCTGACTGACGTTTTTCGTACCAAATTGTTACGTCATTTTTACAGCATGAAATGACGACGGATTTCTCCGTGATTTTCCGGTCATGACAAGGAGCACACGGCGGGTGTGACCGGTCGGCAGGGGATGCTCACTCCTCCATGTCACCTGATCTCACTTCTGATGTTTTGTGGGCCCGTGTTTGCTGTTTTCCTGTTTTGTATTGTTTTATGGATTTTTGATCTTGAATACTGTCTGTTATCTCCATATGTTTCATTCAGTTGATCATCGACTTGTGTATTGAATCAAATATCCGAGATTAATTTTCTTGTGGTGAAGGGATGTTGAGATAAAATTAAATTTAAACAGCAAATTCAGTTTATTCAATGTTTCAACTTTGTCCCAAAAACTGTATACAGGTTTTTTTTCGTTACATATGTTATTTAATATTTTTAATTTTTCAATTCAAGATTTTGCGCTATTACATTATTTTGATCGGTAATGTGAAAATTAAGACCAATATCATGCTTTTTATATTTAGACACCAATGATTTATTTCCTCGTTTTGTGATGTCTAATTTCTCTAACACAGATCAAAATTACTACAACACTAATGCAAGCTTAGGAATTCATAACAAACACGAGGTTGTGTTGATTATTTTTATTAAATACCATTTACAGATTGGACATTGTCATTCGGACGATCATCATCAGTTTTGCTGTGATACTGAAGCTTGTGTTGGTAAATACCTTCTACTTATCTTTTCAACTTTATTTTTCAAATGAAAATAGAGTCAAGGTCATTTTTAGATTTTTTTTCATTTCAGCTTCCTTTTTTCGAGAATTGCACATTACCAGTACCACAACCCAACAAATAACTAATACAGGTGATTTCTTTCTCTCAAAAAGTTTAAAAACAAATGCAAATGAAACTCTAACACGTTTTCCATTTAGTCTTTTTGAAATTATATATAAAGATCAAACTTTTAATTTAATTTTAGCAAGCGCCCCTCATGAACACAATTTTCATAAACATAATCATGAACATCTAATTAACTGTCCGTCTTGTGAACATCACGTCTGTGATTTCAAGAACACCATCCAGTGTGAAGTTTGTCAGATTTATGTTCCACACCACGGGCAACCTCCACAAGACACAAGGTGTGTTCCGGTACGTAACTGGATTCGTCACTCTTTAGCTTTTGGACAATTTTAGTAACATCCTCTAATATGAAAGTAGTAGATAGCAATTTGAAATGAAACCGAAATGTGTTAAATCTACAAACATCATTTTATATAAAATTCATTTTGAAAATCTAATTAAATCAATCCCTCACAAATGGACTAGAATCAAAATGTATGAAATATGGTGAAAACCAACAGCATTTAAACTTCAATTAAGGAATACAAATTGCGGTCTGAGAAAACGTGGATCTAAGAATATCAGACCGATATTAGACGCCGTCAAATTACAAGAAAGAGTAGCTCTTTTATTTACGCAGAATATTTTGACTTTAATAGTATCACCAGTATAATTTTGTACAAATACATTTGTCAATAGCAAAACGCATATAGTTGCAACATAAATTTGTACATGTTATAGTCTTGAGACAAAATTCATTATATCGACAAAAATTTGTAAAATGATGACTTGAAATAATACTTTTAATATTCATGTTTCATCACATCGTTTGTCTATAGTTTTCCTCGTTTGAGAAACTGTTCACCAAGCTGTTTAATAGACGTGATGACTTACTTTTCAATCATCAGCTTCCCTTTTGCAGCAATACACCTTCATCACCTGCATACGGAGTGTATATATCTCAGTTGATTCGATACGCAAGAGCATGCTCTAGGTATGAACAATTTCTGAAACGGGATAAAATATTGACAAACAAGTTGATGAGACAAGAATATCAGCAGTCTCGTTTAAGACATCATTTCGTAAGTTCTCTGGTCGATACAATGAGCTTGTCAGCAAATACAATTTATCATTGAGCCAAAATCTGACTGACGTTTTTCGTACCAAATTGTTACGCCATTTTTTATCAATTCGATAACGAATTTTTTTCATTATTTCCCGGTCATGACAAGGAGCACACAGCGGGTGTGACCGGTCGGCAGGGGATGCTCACTCCTCCATGTCACCTGATCCCGCCTCTGATGTTTTGGAGGTCTGTGTTTGCTCTTTTCCTGTTTTTTTTTTATTGTTTTATGGATTTTTGATCTTAAATACTGTTTCTTTATCACCATATGTTTCATTCAGTTGATCATCCACTTGAGCACTGAATCAAATATCCGAGATTAATTTTCTTATAGTGAAGGGATGTTGAGACAGAACTAAATTAAAACAGCAAATTCAGTTTATGCAATGTTTCAACTTTGTCCCTAAATACTGTACACAGGTTTTTTTTTCGCCACATGTGTTATTTTATATTTTTAAATGTTCAATTCAAGATTTTGCGCTATTACATTGTTTTGATCGGTAATGTGAAAATTAAGACCAATATCATGTTTTTTTATATTTAGACACCAATGATTTATTTCCTCGTTATGTGATGTCTAATTTCTCTAACACAGTTCCAACTTACTACAACACTAATGCAAGCTTAGGAATTCATAACAAACACGAGGTTGTGTTGATCATTTTTATTAAACACCATTTACAGACTGGACATTGTCACTCGTACAGAGATTATCAATGCTGCGATACCGAAGCTTGTGTTGGTAAATACCTTCTACTTCTAGTTACCTTTTCAAGTTTTTTTTTCAAATGAAAATAGAATCAAGGTCATTTTTAGATTTTTTTTCTTTTCAGCTTCCTTTTTTCGAGAATTGCACATTACCAGTACCACAACCCAACAAATAACTAATACAGGTGATTTCTTTCTCTCAAAGTGTTTAAAAACAAATGCAAAAGAAACTCTAACACGTTTTCCATTTAGTCTATTTGAAATTATATATAACGATCAAACTTTTAATTTAATTTTAGCAAGCGCCCCTCATGAACACAATTTTCATAAACATAATCATGAACATCTAATTAACTGTCCGTCTTGTGAACATCACGTCTGTGATTTCAAGAACACCATACAGTGTGAAGTTTGTCAGATTTATGTTCCACACCAGGGACAACCTCCACTAGACACAAGGTGTATTCCGGTACGTAACTGGATTCGTCACTAGTTAGCTTTTGGACAATTTTAGTACCATCTTCTAATATAAAAGTAGTAGATAACAATTTGAAATTGAACCGAAATGTGTTAACTCTACATACATCATTTTATATAAAATTCATTTTGAAAATCTAATTAAATTAATGCCTCACTAATGGACTAGAACCAAAATTTTTTGTAATATGGTGAAAACCAACAGCATTTAAACTTCAATTAAAGAATACAAATTTCGGTCTGAGAAAACGTGGACGTCTAAGAACATCAGACTGATATGAGCCGCCGTCAAATTACAAGAAAGAGTAGCTCTTTTTTGTACGCAGAATATTTTGACTTTAATAGTATCACCAGTATAATTTTGTACAAATACATTTGTCAATAGCAAAACGCACATAGTTGTAATATGAATTTGTACATGTACAAATCTTGAGACAAAATTCATTATATCGACAAAAAAAAAACCTTGAAAAATGATGACTCCAAACGATGCATTTGATATTCATGTTTCATTACATCGTTTGTCAATAGTTTTCCTCATTTGAGAAATTGTTCACCAAGCTCTTTAATAAACGTGATGACTAACTTTTTAGTTATCAACTTCCCTTTCTCATGCAGCAATATACCTTAATCACCTGCATATCTCAGTTGATTCGATACGCAAGAGCATGCTCTAGGTATTAACAATTTCTAACTCGGGGTAAATTATTTACAAACAAGATAATGAAACTAGAATATCAGAAGTCTCGTTTAAAGTCATCATTTCGTAAGTTCTACGGTCGATACAATGACCTTGTCAGCAAATACAATTTTTCATTGAGTCAAATGCTGACTGACGCTTTAGTACAAAATTGTTACTCAAATTATTTATACAATGAATTGACGACGGATTTTCGGTTATTTCCCGATCATGGCAAGGATCACATGGCGGGTGTGACTGGTCGGCAGGGGATGCTCAATCCTCCATGGCACCTGGTCCCACCTCTGATGTTTTGGAGGTCCGTGTTTGCTCTGCTCCTGTTTTGTATTGTTTTATGGATTTTGATATTAAATACTGTTTCTTTATCTCCATTAGCTTCATACAGTAGTTCATACACTTGTGCGTTGAGATAAATATCCGAGATTATTTTTCTTGTGGTGAAGGAATGTTAAGATAAAACTAAATTAAAATTGCAAATTCAGTTTGTTCAATGTTCCAACTTTGTCCTATAGAGTTTTTTTTCGCCACATGTTTTATTTTTTAATTTTTCAATTAAAGATTTTGCACTATTACATTGTTTTGATCTGTAATTTGCATATTGCATGTAGGACAAATATTCTTAATTTTTATTTGAATAACCCGACAATTTGAAATCGTCTTATTGTGATCAATAATTCCTCTAAAACAGTTTTAATTTACTACAACACTTATGCAAGCTTAGCAATTTATTAAAAACACCAGGTTGTGTTGATGAAACTTGTATTGATTTACAGGCTGGACATTGTCACTCGGACATTCATCGTCATTGCTGTGATACTGAAGCTTGTCTTGGTAAATACTTTCCACTTCTATAGCTACCTTTCAACCTTTCTCCACATGAAAATAGAACCGTGGTCATTTTTCGTTTCAGCTTCCTTTTTTAGAGAATTTCACATCACCAATACCACAACCCAACACATAACTAATACAGGTGATCTCTTTCTCTCAAAAATGTTTTAAAAAAATATTTAAAAAGTAAAATGCGTAAATAAAGAAAATAGGTATTTCCTCGATCACTTTACGCTTGCTGTTAATTATACAGATTCTATGGTACACTGCCCCACCTGCCACGGAGGTGACTGTGACTTTGTCAATCGAGACACGTGTCACGTGTGTAAATTCGACTTACATCCGGGAAAATTACCTCATGTTCATTGTTTGAATGGAAATGTATGTCTATTTTTTCCTGACTTGATTTTAAATATTTATAGTACTTTGTACACATCTGACATATACAAATAAAATGTTTTGTAAGACAGATGTAGGCGTGATGAGTAACATGAAACAGCCATAGCTGCTTTACCGACGACACGGCCGACTCAAGTATTTTAAAGGAAATCACCTGTTTCTATTTATAGATACATGTATCTTTTCAATTCAAAATCAAACTACATGTATGTTATCATTTGTGGACCACTGTTATATTTTCATAGTTGCAAGTTTGTTAAATGACAATAATTTTACTTGTTCAATACTCTTATTCTAAATAAGATCGTTAGAAAATTTTTAAAAATAAAACAAGCTAGCAGCTATCATGACTTTGGGTCATTAAAATAGTTTAAGACTGATTTTTCTCGAGATACGTTCAAGGTGTAATGTTGTATTATATATCTCTCACATTATTTATACATGTATTATAAAATAATAAAAGAAAATATGGTAAAATGCACAGAGAGAAAAAAAAACATAAAATCGTAGACAAACATGCACTGTGAGACTCGAACTCACGATCATTATGTCTTCAATCCAGCAATCATACCACTACGCCACGAAGTCGTGGTAATCGAATGGATAAATTAAAGACAGACTGTTGAATCTTGAAATGATTTTAGAAGAAATTTCCAACATTTTCAATATAAAGACCATTTTAACCAAAATTATCTAAATGTAATGATGTACAGTCATATCCAAATAAAATTATTCAGAAGTTGTTTTTCTGGTTAAGGCTGGTCTTTTGCTACAGTTTGTCATTGTTTAGGTGGGTACCTCAGTATTTACTATACTCTCCATATAAACTGAACGAATTTTGTATCTTTCATATGAGGGAACTATTAATATTTGAATATTATTTTTGTGTGATTTGCTTTAACACATGTATAACCTAATATTGTATGACAAAAGTTTGGTTAAATAATGTATTAAAAAAATTACTACTACAGTAGGCGAAAGTGACTATCAAATGCGCTATGGCTCTTTGAATAAAACGCTCAGTTAGTGAATTACAGGTAATTATAACAACTCGTTATACATTTCAGACTGAGAATTGTAGACACTGTTTTTATATGGATATTCTACATGATATGTGTTGTAGGAACATTGCACGGAGAACCACAACACGCGCTGCTGCAGTGATGAGTCTTGCATAGGTACGTATCCTTTCATTTCATCAAGTTAGACTACTTAACGTGTATTAATTGATTCTTAAACACGATATTCCATTTAAAATTATACTTTCATATTAACAATTCATAAACTAATTTAATTGCTTCGTCTTTTATTTCTTACAAACATTTCATGTATTTCTTTATAAGAGTACAAGGATGTTTCAAAGTATTTCAGATAATTAAGCTATTGTCTGTGAACGACACTCATTTCCTGGCATTTCTAATCAGCATTTGAATTAATTAGTTTTATGTTGATGTTTCTTCCAAAGACTTTTTAACCAAATCTATTTATCATAATTATAGCACGTGCATTTGGGTCATGGTATCCCGGTACTTCATCTACACATTCTACTACGAGCAGAGAAATCCACGTTACTGGTATACTGATATAATGCTTGAAATGTCTTTGTATTCACAACTCCTTGGTTGTTATTCATTATATAGCACTTGATATCTATTACATCAGATCTACTGATGTTACAGATTTATCTGCGCATTGTCCTCATTCTCAGGGAGAATTCTTTGACTTTGTGAATTGTGACACGTGTGTTAATTATTAACTACATTTAAACTACAAAAAAAAAGCAGCCAAGATTATTTTTGACCATTTTCTTCTTCTAAACCACTGTTTGAGAAACTTGAATGGTTAAGAGTTTATGAGCTAGTTGATATATACATTGATCTATACAAATACATATTTTTATACAACATTTTCAGCGGAATAACGCCCAAATATTTTTGTAATTTATTTGAATTTCACTCCTCAACTTCTGATAACCTTTGATCTGAAACTAACTACTATCTTAGGTTACCAAAATTTCGTACAAACTTATTCAAGACCTCTTTTCAGTACTCAGGTGTTCATCTATGAAATAAACTTCCTCAACACATTAGACTATCTCAACCTCTACGAGCATTTAAGTATAATGTAGAAAATTACACCAGTTGTCGCACAATAATTTGAGCACAAATAGATTTTGATATTGTATCTACGAGGGTTGTTCGCAAAGTTCGTTGACGATGTCAATCTTCGCTGTATTAATCACAAGAAATTTAAAATAAGCACAACATAATGTGTAAAAATATTTGTTTTGTTGATGTGTGAAGTTTCATTCCACTGGATTAAAAAGAAATAAATTTACCTCATTTTAAAATCATCATGTTTTCTACCCGCGGAGCACACTTTGTCTCTCCTTGACGTTCTCCAACTTTATAAAGCGTTTGTTAAGATTTTTACAGTTAAACCGCTTCTTCACAGATTATCCTCATCCGATACAGGGTCTCTGTCACTCTAATACTGTCTGTACTATTTGAACACACATACACAACTCGCTTGTGACAATTTTTTTGATTCCTCCAACATTTTTAGAGTTGATTCGGTATTTTTTCCTGAGTAAAACAGAAAGTTGCATCGGTATCTGCCGCTCAGAGACGTTCTAAAACGTCAACGTTTTTATCGTTTTCAATGAGAACAACCTATCTTAAGTTGATATCTTTTCAAAAAAGCAAAATCTTAAGCCATAATGTGGAATACGAAGCGATGTAACAACTCTTAATTGGAATATCTAAGTTGTTATTCGTTTTTGCTCCATTTTACATAGAATATGATTACAGACATTATTTAGTGTATTGTAACTTACTAAATTTTGACCTGCTCGGCGATCTAATTTTTGTATTTTTAAAATCTGGATTGGATTTATTGTTATAATATCTTTACCAAATTTGGATAACATGTGACGACAAATAATAAAGTTTTGACAATAGTCATTTTCGAACAACCCTCGTACAATGTTTGTGATTGTTAATTGTCTGTACTTGGACACTTTATTCCTAATTTTGTGACTGTAATTCCTTACAAATTATTAAACACGTTGAATCATATCTTTAATATTTTTTGTAATTGCATGATTTATACGAAAATGAAAAAAAAAAAAAAAAAAAAAAAACAACAATGGGGGAAATGGGAGTTGGTACTGCATTCTAACGTAAATTAATTAGAGGTTTATAAACCATTACTGAGTATTTAGGTAATTTTAAAACTATAAATATATTTTTAAAAGTCGTAAACCATATATATTTGATCTCTTAAGTTTAATACATTTACTTTTAATGCCATGTGATTCATATTGTTGTCGTGATTTTGTGTAATTAAGCATTATTATAGTTGGGGCATATGGGCCGTATTTTCAAACCTTTCGATCCTCAACCACGTTGCCAACGACGACAGGTCATACTAAGGTCAACACTTCTAACCCAACAACATTTAAGCACACTAGTGTAGCCACGCCTACGACAATATCTAATGTATCAACTTTACCTTCCTACACCACAAGCACCACAACAACACCTTCCTCAACCAGTACATATTCTACCTCGTCGTTAAGAGCGAATTCTTCAGAAGCAACGACTCCTCTGACCCCCAGAGGAACAACTGGATCTGTTTCTTCTGCGACAACTGTATCATTTTCAACTGGTAATCGTAATAGTATTTTATTTGCAGGATGTTAAGTGACATAAGTCGGAGAACGTAATACTTGTACTGATAGCTATCCTCTATCAAGTTTTTATGTCTGCTAAAATTATACATCTGGATTTATAATTACTTCTCTGAATAATTATTTTTAGTATTTGTTTGCAGGATTTTGACAAAGCGAAATGAAATACAGCATGACTTGTCTCTTATGTCCTTTATGTAACTTGTATGTTTGCTAAATTTAAATGAAAACGTTTAGGTTGAATAGTATACAAATATTGATTTGATTTCTGTATCTAATAGTTTTATCAAGGCCTTTAAAAAAGCTGTCATCGAAAAAGTAATTCCTCTTTGTGAACGTTTTCAGTCAGTTGCAAATGACTTCTACAAGACTAACAAAAGAATGAGAAGACAGTCTCAATTTTTTCTTTATGTAACGTATAAATATGACTTTTTGAAATTAGGTGCAGTTCTCCACATATGCAAGAATACGTGTATTTTTAAACCAGACGTTAACTTTGTTTTAGATATACCCAGTAACTGCTCCGACAGTATAACAAATTGCGCCACTCTGAAAAGATACTACGGCGTGTGTCATGCTATCCCAGTACAAAGAGACATGTACGACATCGCTTTCCTGCGGTGTAGGGCAACTTGCAACCTTTGCAAAGGTGACTTTCTTATTTATATCAGCGACAAAGCTAGCTTATATTTCAGAATAAGAAGCAAATTCAAAATCTTACTGTGAAATAGTAAAGTCTGTTCAAGTGGTTAATCTTATGAAACATTTTTTTTTAGATTTGATTAAAATCCATAATCCCCTCCCCTTTTTGTATTATGGTGTTATGGTGCATATCTTTGTCGATTCATCGTAGATCTGAAATTTTTTGAAAATTAATTTCCCAAGAAAGTTTTGGTATATAAATAATACGTTTATTACAAGAGGATTTTGGTTACTAAAGATGCTGGATATTAAAGAATTTATGAGAACTTACCAATATAATCGAAAGACCTAGAATATTGATGAGGCACTGCTTTGATGAACAGGTCGACCTATTGGCACTATCACACTTTTAAATTCAGCGAAACCTGTTTTGTTCGCATTACTTATGCTCACAGATTCATTTGCTTATCTACTTATGACAAACTTACGTGGTCAACGAATTGCATCTCTACTCACTTTCATTTCATTTTCTATTGAAATCTAAGCTTTGAAATTTTGAAATTTCACAATTACCATAAGTTTGGAACATACGTAAATAAAAATAGCAATTTTCTGTAAATTATTTTTATTTCTAGTAATTAGTATAGTATACAATTTATTTTGCAGAAAATTGATAGTATGAGCTTTTTTTATTTTTCTTTATTTATGTCAGGACTAATGAAGTTAATTTCAGGCTATGTTTCATGAATACTCCGAATTATGAGAGTAGTTTAAAAACCCTAGCTAATATAATACTGCTTTTTGTTTTAAATAAAAAAAATCTAAAATGATTTTTTTTTTATTATTTAGTCTTTTTTAAAAAGGTTACATGATATACTATCATTTTCACACATATATATATAATTCAGAAAAGTGTACCCTTAGTCATTTCAGAGTAAAAACTGTCCTTCGATATGGTATTGTTTTAATGTGATTAAAAAAAATTATCAAAGGTTCAGAAAAGTTAAAAAAAAAACAATCAAGCATGTCAAAAACAAAGACCTACTATAAACCGCTCAGCATTAGAAAAAATAAGAAATATTTCTACTAGAGGTACTCTGATCAAATTCACAAAATTGAACCTTTCAATGCATACACATTTTCTTATCCTGACCGTGAACTTGCTAAAATGACTTACATCTAAAAATGTTAAGCTTCACATACATATGTAAGTCATTATCTCGAAAGAATAAGCAATTCAGAATGGCAGTATCTGTCATGGCTTTATTTTGTTTAAGATAGGTTATTACATAATAAATCAATGGTATCAAAACAATGGACAATGATCAAGTATTATTGCAAGTGTCAATGAGTAAGCGCCGATCCTCAATCTGGCATTTGGCGCCTACGGTTTGCAGAAACGGAGCCATATGGTGCTGACAACCCTGGAGGGTAAACAGAAGTTGCCAGCGATGGCTTGTTGCAAAATTCTGTAGTTCGTCGGCATGGATTGCAGCCTGGAAGGATCTCTAAAGCCATGACGAGGGACGATGTTGCACTGGAATCGGAAATGATAACAGCAGAAACACAGGAGAAAACTAATAAGAATTGAATGCACAATATTTATGCCCTAACATACCTATGATAAAAATACTATATGTATGCATATCCGCGTACGTAACTGAATAGGGTGATGTATATATGTAAGCAGTTTTTATGGATGACTGGTATATGTAAACAAGTTTTATGGATGATCGGTACAAAAGAAAAACCTGTGTGAATTAGATGAAGAATATTAATCTACATAAAATGGTGGGGGCGGGTGGGTGATCAAAATCGTCGAGCGGAGAGGATGTGTGCGCAAGCGCATTTAAGACTTGGGGCTATTTTGGAAATTTGGTTGAGGACGGGGGAGATATCGCGCTTAGGCTATTCTTCTTCGATAACTGGCATTTACCGCACATGGCGGTAAATGCAATTATCTCGAAAGAATAAGCAATTCAGAATGGCAGTATCTGTCATGGCTTTATTTTGTTTAAGATAGGTTATTACATAATAAATCAATGGTATCAAAACAATGGACAATGATCAAGTATTATTGCAAGTGTCAATGAGTAAGCGCCGATCCTCAATCTGGCATTTGGCGCCTACGGTTTGCAGAAACGGAGCCATATGGTGCTGACAACCCTGGAGGGTAAACAGAAGTTGCCAGCGATGGCTTGTTGCAAAATTCTGCCAAGTGGATTGCTGTGCACGAATTTCGAGACAGCAATCCATCCGCCAACAAGTGGCGGACAATTTGGCAAACAAGACATAATGTCTTTTGCAACGCAATGATTCTCAAAGCAATTCAAAAACAATATGCAGGGTATCATCAATGAATAATGTGGCAAAGCAATATAACACAACATATCAAAGCATCAAACAGCATAACTGGGGGGAGGGGAGAGGGAAGGATGCAATGCAACTCAGTGCAATTGCGACTACTATCATGAATATGGGATGGTGTGAAGGTGTTTCTTTTACAAGCCATGCACAGATACTGTGTTTTATGGGAGTGTGGGGAAAACCTTTTGACTGGAAGTCAGAAACTTGGACAATGCCGTTTGAATTGTAGTTGTAAAAATAGAATTTCCAAGATCTGATAAATGAACACAATCGAGGAATAATTTGGGCTGATCAATTCTAATATCTGGGTAACGAATGAGGGCCCCATTTAACTTTTGCACAACAAAGCAACCAATGGAATTATTGATTCTTTTTCTAGATTTCTCTGCAGCTTCGCTCGAAATCATGTAACGCCAGTATTTGCGAGGAAGTATGTTTGACCATACAAGAAGAGTGTTTGGTAATTTTCTATGAATGGAGGCTAATAATGATTTCATGGCTATTTGTAATTTTTTAAGGGACTGAATGCCAATACTGTTGCCACCACAGTGAACTATTAGAACTTGAGGAATGATTTCATTATGGCGATTTAACAAACTAGCAATGTGTTGATCAAGTTGCTCCCATTTTAGTCCCCCAGATCCGGACCAGGTTACATCTATGTTTAAGTGCTCCAGAGACAAGTTTTGGCCAATTGGTGAACGTGTGCAGTAATCTTCAGCTCGTCTGATGATGGAAGATCCAACAATCCATACCTTGCAGCGAGTTCCTGCAAACTTAGCTTACAGTTAGTAAGACTGACTATCTACAAGACTACAGTATTAGGGCGAACATATGACTTAAAAGCGTTGGATTTCCATCTACCCATGGTTTTGATTTCTTGCTCTGGAGTACCTTGCATATACAATGAAGTTGCAGCCCCTATGCGAAATGAATGGGATTTGAATGTTGATATATCAAGTTTGAGGAATGACAGAGCTTTCTTTAGTATTTGATTGAATTGATAGTAAGTCAAGGGTGAGCCATCCATGTGGCACAGGAACTGTGATGTTTGAGTTTGTGATGGTCTATGGGTCGCGTACTCTAGAATGTTGTGGAATAGGACTTGATTGTGCTTTGTACTGTTAATGTGCATTGTTGTGCCCTTGCCATGCTGATCTGTTTTAGTTTTCCCTAAAGTGATCTGAATGGATGATTGGGATATTGATACATTTTCTACTGATAATGGGGAACTGTGGGTATTTGCCCTAGTGGTGGTTATTTCACCAACTCGAAGTAAAGCAAAGAATGCGAGCCCATATGCTGAGGAGAACAGTAATTTTTCATAATAATTGCGACACACATGTTGCATCGAGTCTATTAAGTTGACTAATAGGGGAAATGTTATCGGGCTTCTTGAATCTCTTCTATGTTTTAGTTGTTTAAAGCCATTTAGCATTTTCTTGACTATGAAAAATTGGCATGGGTCTGGGAAATTACCAAGTTTTATGTTGAAGCTTAAGCCAGCTAGGTAGGTTTTGGCTGTAGAGCATGTTGTCCCCTTTGAGGATAGGTAAGCAATATAGTTAATTAATTGGTCTATGGGAGGGGGCCATACTTCTGTTAAGTTAAATTTTTTTCTAAATTGTGCAAATGAGTCAAGACCTTTCTGGTATATTTCTTGAGTGTTATGAGAGACTGATGCTGAGAGTAGTTGTTCTACTTCCTGCTCAAATGGTTCCAGAATTCTAGAGGAACTTGGCAGGGATAATAGTCTGCATGGGGGGCCAGCTTCCTGAACTTTTGCCACTGAAAACGAGATATGGCATCAGCTATAGAATTAGAATGACCTGGTACATGTTCGCAGCGGACTTGGATATTGTATTTTAATATTTTATAAAGAAAAGGCCTGAGGAGGGACATAACTCTTGGTGACTTTGATGTTTTTTGGTTGATTATCTCGACAACAGCCATGTTATCAATATGCAAGATCAGTTTCCTGCCTTGTAGTTTGTGGCCCCATATGTATATTGCAAGGGCGACTGGGACTAACTCCAGATAGGTCAGATCTCTACAATCGTGTTGTGACCATTCTGAGGGCCATTGTAGGTAGGACCATTGTGTACCAAATATGACCCCACACCCAAGTGAACCAGAGCTATCAGAGGATATGTGAATAGTGTCTTTATCTGACCAGTGAATATCTGGGAATACAGTTGTGCCATTAAAGTCAGACAGGAACTCGAGCCATATATCTACATCTTCGCGAAGTGCCCTTGAGATAGTGATATAATGGTGTTGTTTGTATCCCTGTGATAGGCTGTCATAAAATCGCCTACAAAAGGCTCTCCCTGCAGGTATTGCCTTAGAAATAAATGCCAAAGATCCAACTAATGATTGCATTTCTTTAAGAGTAATTTTGCGACGCGATGCAACGTTTTGAAGTTGGGCTTTAAGGGCGTCGACTTTATCTTTAGGGACAAATATAGTTTGGGTGATGGTATTAATTCCTAACCCTAGAAATGTTAAACATGTTGATGGACCTTCAGTTTTTTCCTCTGACAGAGGAACGCCGAGCGTTTCACAAGTTATGTCAAATATTTGCATGAGGTTTTTGCACACAAGGGTGTTTGCAGGGCCTGCAAAAAGGAAATCATCAAGGTAGTGTACTAATGTGTCAATATTGGCTCGATCTTGAACAATCCAATGGAGGGCTGTTGCAAATTTTTCAAATGTAGCACATGCTATAGAGCAACCGAATGGGAGGCACTTATCGAAATAATAGTTGTTAAAATAAAAACCAAGCAAAGAAAAATCCTCGGGGCGAATAGGAAGGAGTCTAAATGCACTAGAAATGTCTTTTTTCCCCAACAAAGCTCCCTTGCCTAGTTCTTTTATCATTCTTACTGTCGAGTCAAATGATGTATAATGAACGGTGCAAAGATCTGGGTCTATAAAGTCATTAACACTATTTCCCTCTGGTGCAGATAAGTTACAAATCATACGCCACCCCCCTTGCTTTTTGGGAACAATGCCTATTGGGCTACACTTGATATTTGACATGGGGATATTCTTGAACGGCCCAGCTACTCTACCTAATTTAACCTCTTGATCAATTTTTTCTTGGAGCTGCTGTGAATTTGTTTGTGCAGATTTCATGTTTTTAGATTTTTGATATTCCCGTATACCCGAATATCGAATGTTGAAACCATATTGAAAACCATTGATTAATTCATGAGCAATATGTTGCAAGGGGTAGTCTTTTAGCATTGATTATAGGATGTTAACGTTGACTGGGGTTGGGGCCAAGTCCCAGAGGCCTTGGTTGGTTTGGGGGGAACCCTCTACTCTGAAATCTGCTTGGGGGCTGGCGGGGATGTTCGGCTTGGGATGGGCGAAAGTTTTCTGTGCGAAATGCCTGACTGTTGTGCCAGCGGCAGTTTATGAGTGGGTGATTATTGGAGCATTTAATGCAAGCATGTTGATAAGTGCAGTATGGTCTTCCGCATGTGCCTTTGTAATTGAAGTCAAAGCATTTTGGCGATTTAGATGTATAGTTTGGGGTTTGCTGTGATAGAGTGTTGTGGCCATGAGACACATACAAGAGCCATAATTCTGCGTCGACACACCCCCAGTCGAGAGTATGGTTCCTGGAGCGCTTTAGTCTAAACTGTATGTCATAATTGAGCCAGTTTAAGTTTGATGATCGCTGTGCAGCAGTGCGTATGATGTTGATGTATTTAAGTATTGATTGAATGTGTTCAGGGAACTTAGTCAAGTAAATGCTGCTGAAAATGAGGAAAGCATTTGTCCATGTTTCAATTGAAGTTATTTTGATTTCCTTATGCTTAGCCTTTAGCACTAATTCGCCAGCAACAAATGCGAGCTGTTGCTGGGGCTCGTCATTTGGTTTGAGAGGAAGTAATTTATGCAAGTGAATGAATGCATTATCATATATGTTTTGTCTCAGGTTATCTGGGACATGCACGCCCAATGCGTCTGAAACGCTACATAATGAATTTGGTGTTGTTGCACTTGAATTAGATAATGTATTAGTGCTGCCTGAAGTACCTGGAGAAAGCATTGTTGGCGATGCCTCAAACTCTGAGGGGTCAGGGATGTCTATTCCTGAGGAAGTTGTAGGCTGGTTTGATAAGGCTGGAGGTATGGCGTCAGGAGTGACCTGGTTCGGTTGAGTCACGGTGCTTGTAGCAGGGGTGACCTGGTTCGGTTGAGTCACGGTGCTTGTAGGCCTGGATGCTTTGGCCTTTTTGGTGGCAGCTGGAGCTCGGCCGGGCCTGGCATATGGAGACTTTGTAGTCCTTTTTGCACGGAGCATGTTTCTATAAAACAAACAACTGTGTAACTTGTGTTTAACATATACATAATTCATTATTATTATTATTAATTGCTTATATATTTATAATTTTTTACTATTAATTTTTTTTTTTTTTTTTTTTTTTTTGTTTGAATCTGAGATTGTAAATTATTAACATCGTTTACTAATTATGAATGATCAAATTATACGTAGAGTTAAAGCCCTTTTTGTTTAACGTTTGGAATGCCGCCATTAGCGGATGGTGCTGTTGAATATTGATCCAGCAAAATCTGCTGACATCTAAAGTGCTGAGGCAAGGGAAACGCCCAATTCGCTTCCAATGCTTCACTAGATGTTTAATACATACCGATGACCGGTGGAACGATACCTGTACAATATAGTAATCCACGTAATGGGTTGCAACTTGGAGGTGATTTTTCTGTTGATGCTGTCTGATCAAAATCGTCGAGCGGAGAGGATGTGTGCGCAAGCGCATTTAAGACTTGGGGCTATTTTGGAAATTTGGTTGAGGACGGGGGAGTTATCGCGCTTAGGCTATTCTTCTTCGATAACTGGCATTTACCGCACATGGCGGTAAATGCAATTAGTTAAATAACATCGTAATCAATACGAACTACCAATTTTCGTTATAAGAAAGATATGAAGCTGACATGAGCTTTTAAAAGAGCAAGAGCCACTTTGGGCTTTATTTCGCCCTGAGAATTTCTAAAAAATCCTAACCGCTCAGTTTGGGTTGCAAATACAGTATTTATCACTTGGAGTGTTGGTGACTATGTATCTATTAAGCATGACGTCATAAATTGCGTCATTTTCCTCATATCCTGTAAATTCCTTTGAAAGTGGCCTAAAGTTGAAGTGTTTTTTTTTTCAATATTTCATATAGAGCACAACCTCTGATCCAAAATATACAAATACTTAATGAAAAATCTGTTTCTGAATATCAAAAAACATGTTTTATTTTTTGGATCGTGGGCTGTGCTCATACTTTAATTCTTTGCTGAAGGTAGTCGAATACGTATGTTTTCTGCAAATTTCAAGAACATTGCATTTTCTCAATGCCTATTTTCCAATATCTGGATTTTCAAAAAAAAAAAAAAAAAAAAAAAAAAGAAAATGAAAGCACCAAATCTCTTCTTTATTTTGATATATGAAACGGGAAAGAGGGTGATAGTTAATTAATTGAAATACGTACAGGGCCATATTATGCTTAAAGTGAACCTAGCTCTTTTATTTATTTCTGGCAGTGAAATTCAAGAACATATCCCACGCTCTTAAAAATTGTAATTTTATGAAAAACATTATCTTCAAACTTATTTACAAAAATACTTAATATAATAGATGCAATCATATTTTAAGGGAAATTGATGGTTAAAATTGACATAGGGTGATTTGCATTTTTCCATGATTGTAAAATAAAAGGTTCATGCAATTAGTAATATTTCAACTTTTCAATTATTAATTAAGATAATATTCTATTATCCTTTGACCCACTTCTTAAAATCGACGATGATAAAATCACTTATATACAAGATGAATTGATTAAAATTGATGCTTTGTGAAACGTAGGTTTTTGGTTTATTTCATAAAATTACCGGAGTTACTAGTTTGAGAGTACATTCTCATGTTTCCTATATATTTCTATATAAAACTTTGATTCCCCATTGTGGCTCTGCCCAACCCCCGGGGGTCATGATTTGAACAATTTAGAATCTACACTACCCCAGGATGCTTCCACGTAAGTTTCAGCTTTTCTGGCCCAGTGGTTCTTGAGAAGAAGATTTTCAAAGATTTCTCCTATATATTTCTATATAAAACTTTGATTCCCCATTGTGGCTCTGCCCAACCCTGGGGGGGGGGGGTCATGAATTGAACAATTTAGAATCTACACTACCCCAGGATGCTTCCACATAAGTTTCAGCTTTTCTGGCTCATTGGTTCTTGAGAAGAAGATTTTTTTAATGACCCCACCCTATTTTTGTCAAAATTGGCCTAGTGGTTCTTGAGAAGAAGTCGAAAATGTGAAAAGTTTACGGACGGACAGACGGACTGACGACGGACAAAATGTGATAAGAAAAGCTCACTTGAGCCTTCGGCTCAGGTGAGCTAAAAAACTCAAAGCAATTGGTGTACAGTCTGTTGATTGGTTTTTATCTTATTTGTCTGAAAGAAAACAGTTTGTTCACAGCAATGGAATTTCATCAGATGCTGGTATTATCACATGTTGTGTACCTCAGTGTATCATTCTATGCCCTTTATCATTTTTAATTTACGTTAATGACATGGTTACTAGTGTTGACGCAGACTGTAAACTTATTTCATACTCTGATGACAGTGCTATTTTATTTGCACATAAATATCCTGATTTTATATCAGAAAAGCTTAGTAAAGTTTTAGTTGTAGATAATAAATTATCGTTACATTTAGTCTTTAGAAGTGACTTAATCTGATTATCAAAGTTTTGAACTTTAAGTCCTTGTTTATTTTTTAACATGCTAAAAAAATGGCCAAAGGGGTAGGGTGATGCCAAAATTGGCTATCAATGTTTCACACAAAGAAATCTATAGGAAATTTTATTGATGAAGAATAGCAAGGCGATAGTGATTCGGGTAAGCGTTGTTACTTGAGGCCTTCTTTTTTTGTCAGTAATAAGAATATATTCTACAGTAACATTCAATGTCTTTCAGAATTTGTGGCCATTAGAAAAAATATTAATAAATTACAGTGTATACCTTTATAAGAGAATATGTTTTTAAATGGCACTGGCAGAGTTACTTCTTGATTAATTTCTAAATTATGTTTTTGGAAAACTTGAACCGAAGTTTCAAAAAAGCTTCTTGATAACCTATGGTCCATCGTCTGTCTGTCTGTCCGTCTGGCAATTTTTCAAATTTTCGAATTCTTCTCTGATCCACTGGGCTACATTTAAGCAAGCTTGCTACTTATATTCTTCAGTGAAGTGGTTTTAAGTTTGTCCAAATGTCTTGCAAGGGGATATAAACAAGAACAAAAAAAAAGAAAAAAAAAAAGAAAAGGATGTGTCGTAAAAATCTTCTCAATACCATTGGGGCCAGAAAAGATGAAACTCGTGTTCAAGTTTCAATGAATGAATATCTTAATATAAATTCAAATTTGTTTAAGTTGGACCCCAGCGGTAAGGGTGAGGCCACAATTAAAGATGTAAGTGGGCTCACAAAAGATGATCAAGAAAAAAATCTTTAAAAAAATTCTTGTAAAGTACAGCATGAAAATGATAAGTTATATCGAAAAATTATTCAACCATCCAGGTTGTATAGATTCAATTATGTTCAAATCATGGTCTTCTTAGGGATTTGGTAGCCCACTGTACTTTAAAAATCTGGACCAAAATCAATCAGATGAGCACTGTGGCCCATTGGTATCTCTTTTTAAACACCCGCTCCGTAGGTGAGGGGGTATACTGTTTTAACCTTGTGTCTGTCCGTCTGTCTGTCTATCCGTAGCAAATTTTTGGTCGCAGTTTTCTCAGCAACAACTCATTGCTTGAAATTTTAACACAATCGTCTACGTCCCTGCTTTCTCAGCAACTGCTCATCGTAACTGTTTTAAATTTTAACACAAATTTCACTGAGGCATGCCATATGATTTGATTCATTTTTGTATAAATTCGATGTCAACTTCCTGTGCATCCGTGCGTCTGTCCGTTTCATACATAACAATTTTTGTCGAAGTGTTCTCAGCAAATACTTACTGCAGACGTTTGTCATTTTAGTACGCTCTTGGTTAAGGCATACCATATGGAAGCATCCTCAGGTAGTGTAGATTCAAGTTTGTTCAAATCATGACCCCCGAGGGTAGGGCGGGGTCACAATGGCCGACCAAAGTTTTACATAGAAACATATAGGGAAGTTCTTTAAAAATCATCTTATCAAGAATAGCAAAGCCATGATTGGTCATGGGACTACTTTTGGACATAAACTATTCAATAATAATCCAATTTCTGCTTTTTCCCATCCACAGTGCTTAGGTGAGCAATGTGGCCCATGGGCCTCTTGTCTCTCGAGTGCATCTTAACAACCCCGAACTTCCGATGTAGATCTGATTCAGGAAGCGCCATCAGATAACGGAAATTACGTGTTACCTTTAATAACTTTCAAATATTTCTTAATTGATTCGTCAAGAATGCATTTTTGGCGTGAACTTTAAATGATTTTACAAACAATGTGTTCTAGTTATTTGAAGCAATAGTTCACGCATAAATCTCTGTTCATTTTGGGATTTACTGGGGCAAAACTTTCATAACATAAATTTCAGTGAAAATAACGTAAATTAAATATACTTTAAATGCCTTTCTCTGTAATTACATTTCATAAACTTCGTTTAACAGAGATGGTAAAGTCAAGAGGAGAAATTAAAAAGCATATAGGTAAAATAAAATAGGGAAATACTTAACATGAAAGATAAAGGAAAAAATACATCTTGACAGCAGATCTTACGTTATCATTATATCTAACTGTGAATCTCTCAAAAAGATGAAAAATAATCAGTATTTGTGGCATTTTATGGGTGTTTGAAAATAATGTATGTCATTAAGATGGGTGGAAATAAGTTCAAGAAAATATTAATTTTTGGTTTGAAGAGCAATGAAATTGTAATTTACGTTATCAATATACGAGGGGGTATCAAAAAGTTCGTGGACCAGCGCTATAAAATTAAAACCGCTTTAGATACATCAATGAATTTTCAAATATCTGGTCAGCATAATCTTTTCTTTCTATAGAATAAACCGCAGATCATAAATTTTATTTTTAAATAAATTAGTAATGTTTTTGTAAGCTATGGTATGTCCAGGCGGCGCAACCTCGAATACGGCGTTTTTTTCGACCGAAGTGTAACTAAGAAAAACTCTTTTGATATGAACATTTACAATCCAAAAATCTTATTAATTCAGTTATATGTTGGGACACTATTGCTTCATAAAACATGAAGTTTTCACCTCATTCTGAAAGTTCTATGAAAATTTATCGTAAATTTGACTTGGAGTGTCCAAACAAATAAGTCCTTGAAAATGACGTCAAAGGGGGGGAGGTGTTTCATTTCAAACATTCTATAAAGTTTTGGCCCTGAAAAAGGTGGTATAGACCTAGGAAATGTTTAAACTGGCTTTGGAGAAATTAAATGCATCCAGAGTACTTGTTTTTTATTGCCAAATAGGTTCAGAAAGAAAATGGATGCACAGTTAATGTCGATTTGTAATCAAGGTGTGAAAAATCATTCACGTCAAAAAATGACGTTGATTATATACTGCAGATATTAAACTCCCGAAAGTAAAATATGCTGGCACAATCGAGCGAGGATCTCTCCCAATGTATCAATCCATTTGCAATATTATATGCATTTACAGCCGCTGTTCCTGACATTGTAAAGTCATAAAAACAAGACGGGTTTAAGTCCTTACTCAACTCCAGGGAATCTCATCAAATTAAGTGTATGAGGTAGAAGAAGCGGACATTGAAAAACAATGACGTTGAGGGACGTCATGAAACAAAACGGCGACGGCGCCGGGTAATCATATAATGTCGTTTTTATTTTATCATATTTTAGCAAAAAATGAACGAATCAAGCTAAAATTTTCAACATTTCTTTATTTTTTGTTGCTTTATGTCCCTTTTAAAATTTGAAAGTATAGACTACATAGTACTAATCTTATAGCCTCAGTCCACGAACTTTTTGATAACCCCTCGTATTTCTTTAAGAGAAATGATTTAGAATTTTCACAATTTCTTACCAAAGTAAATTTTAAAATCCTTTTCTCTTCAGGAATCAAAAACATAAAATTAAGTCGCACAGAAATTCAGTTTAAAAATTTCTAGCGAAAAAGAACAGAATAATTTCAGTTGAAAAATAAGAAGAAAGCAAACAACATTTGTTAATTACAAATTAAGAGAGAAACACTGGCACAAAAACAAAATTTTTGAAATATTTTTTAGTACAGACAAGGTTCTAAAAAACTCAGATAAAATTGAACATTCATCTTGGCAATAAAAAGACTTTTTGAAGGGGTCAAATCGACCTAAGAAAATAACGTAAATTACACAGGAAAATACCCCACCTATATAACATTGAATATTTTTGTAATCGTGCATGGTTGAGTTCTAATATTTAAAAAAAATAATTCTCCAATGTTTTGTTTCTTAAAAACATCGACTTCTTCCCAAAATAATGGCTTTATTTTTTTAATGAAAGTCAGACTGCATGTGGACAAATTATGTGAGAATAGGTGCTAAGTGACTTAATCTGATTATGACAGTTTTGAACTTTAAGTCCATCCTTCTTTATTTTTTAACATGCTAAAAAATGGCCAAAGGGATAGGGTGATGCCAAAATTGGCTATCAAAGTTTTACACAAAGAAATCTATAGGAAATCTTATTGATGAAGAATAGCGAGGCGATAGTGACTCAGGTAAGCGTTGTTACTTGAGGCCTTCTTTTTTGTCAGTGTATATCTTTATAAAAGAATATATATTTTTTTTAATTTGAATTCCACAATGCTATATAGTACAAACATATAAGATGAACACAATATTCCATTGCAGCATTCATTTTTTGAGAGAGAGAGAGAGAGAGGGAGAGAGAGAATATAAGAATATGTTTTTAAATGGCACTGGCAGAAATTCGCTTTTCATATGTCGTGGGCGTTATGAAGAAAAACAACTAGCTTCTTTTATCCAAAATTTGTGTACTGTACATTATATAAAATGGAACTCGGAATTTTTTTTGACTGGTCTTCGACAAATTTACTTTGGTAAACATTACTCTGATTCTACACACGTACTCTTAAGTTGATCTTAAAGAGTAATGAGGTTCCTTATTGACAACATCCACGTAGTCTCTAGAGACGAAGGTTTCCAACAAGCTGTTGGAATTCCAATTGACAATTATTTTGCTTCTTTATTAGCCAATCTATTTTTCGAACTCCTTTGAAGCAAAAATTGTTCAAAGAGTTATGCCTGGGAAGAACAAAGCATTTGCTGTGGCCCTCAACCGGACATTCATATATATCGACGTTGACTTCTTATATCCCATTGAGCTTAAAATAAAGCACAATATGTGCACAGAGTTTACCCCTTATGTTGAATGTTTGGGTGTTTTCCTGACTGTAGAGGAAAGGGTCAACTAACAATAATTGTATGATAAACGAGATGACTTCAGCTTTTCTGTCGTCACCTTTCCTTGTTTATTTAGTAATATTTTCTATTTCCTGCATATGATGTTTACATTTCCACCTCATTCGATACTCAAGAACGTGCTCTGAACACGATTATTTTTTTTTAATTGGGGTGGGTTGATGTTACAGGACTTTCAACAACCTCGTTTCAGGTCAGGGTTGCGTAAATTCTATTGTCTTTGTGGTGACCTTGAGTGGCAAATGTGACTTAACAATTGGTCGTATTTTGGCTGCCTTGTGTTTATACCAATTGTTAGTTTTTGTGCTCCGTTTGACCACGGAATGTTCCGTCAGTCTGATCGATACATATGGGCCATGGCGGGAGTTGCCGGTCAACAGGGGATGTTTTTCTCTGGAATTTCCGGGGGTCCTTTTTTATGCCTTGTTCATAAATTTGAATTGAGTGTAGATTTTTTTTTCAGATTGGTCAATGTTTATTATCTTCACCTTTTAAATATCATACTTGAAATACAACACTTCATTTATTTTGCACAAGTTCTCCTTTTATTATGTATATTTTAGAAACTTATCAACCATTAACCAATCCATCAACTTCTCTTCAAGGTGAGTTTCAATTCAATTACTATTTGATTTTGGATATAAGAATTTTATGACAAATAAAACCTATAAACCTAAATCAAAAATGTTTTTTGTTTTTGACTTGATTAAAAAAGAAAAAAGTGAGAGGTTTATGAGATTACTATTAAAGTCCATAATACAACAGGATTTAAGTCTTTGATATCCTGAGATGCTGGCAAAAATTTAAAAGACTATTTTTGAAACTTAATTTATACTCAACAGAAAAAGAATACCCTACACCATGGTCACAAGATTTCTTGTGGTTCCAGTTGCCTTTGTGAAAATATTTTGTCGGGGAAAAATTAATTTGTTTTGAAGATTCCTGTTTCAGTTTTTTAATTGGATAATTATTTCATGATACACTCTTAAACTGTAAAAAAAAAAAAAACAAAAAAAAACCCAAACTTTTCACTGAGGTCTCTTTATCCTTTATTACAATATGAATAAATATAATATGTTTTTTCATACTTGGCTCTGGATACATGGTCTATGTGATTTTTTTTCCTCATGAATAACGACAAAGAACTTTTTTTTTATCTTGTAAGATAATGAAAATCAAAATGATATGTCTTTGTTATTATACTTTGATTATCATATTTTCATTAAATATTTTTTTACAACAGGTGTAATCATACAAATACAATAAGATGTGATGCAAATCGTAATTTAAAATTGTACCCACATATTAAATATAAACATGTATACATATATTTTTATAAGTCACAACATCGAGTTTCAGGACAACAACATCGGCCGAGGGTAAGCAAAATATTGTTTGAAAACTAATGCAGCTTGACATAATAAAGAAAACGTTAGGTGTGTACATGGACTGGTGATAAATATTCAAAATCTATAATTCTGATGTTATCATAAAATAAGCTTTGCGTCAAAGGCCATGCAGCTTGCATATACAAAGTATTTACACCAATAATGTTCGTAAAATAGTATCAACTGTATAAACTGTTTCAACGTTTACATATTAATTAAACCATGTTTTATATTAAAATATTAAAGTTCACGTTTGCCAAAATGGACTTTATTAAGAAAATTACAGCTTTTGTGTACATTGACTGGTTCATAGCTTATAGAAAAAAATTCAAAACTAAAAGAAAAGATTTCTTCGGGGAAGCTGAATTGATTTGCTGGATGAAAGTGAGCTTGATAGGAAGGTGGTGGACATCTTTTGCTTCTTATGATTCTTTGCACAGACATAAGTCTGCATTCTGTTTGGTAGCACTGTAGAAATTGCCACAAAGCATAGGGCATTAACGAGGGCCTTTAAGCTGTTGTCGACCTGGTGAAATAATAAAAACAGAAAAAGTTGGATTTGGAGACCTCAGAACCATACAATATGTATAGTTCGCATATGCATGGAAACGTTCAAGATTCAAACATTTTTGTATACCATATATACTGAAAGGAAAAAGAAACGCAAGGTAGACTTTTGAAGTGATTTAATATAATGTTTTAGAACGTATTTTCCAGTATTGTATTTAACATTTAACCTCGTCTTTTATCAACAAGTAAGCAGAATCTCAACTGATTTTTCCGATAACTCAGGTTTTTTTGAAACCTAGATGATGATACCCCACAAGAATGAAAGTCTAAAATTATCATTATCTCCTATTAATATACCTTTTTGGCGCACTATCTACCCTATCGTCTAGATAGTCCCACCGATGTTTGATCAGAGAAAAAAAGGAGGATTGTATCGACACCAGTCGAGTGGATTAATTTTCGTGATAACGAGAAAGTATTGACAAACTCTTAATAAATTAGGCCTTAGGTTAATATAGTTAACATGCTTAAGAATATGAACTGATGCCACATGAGCTCGAGTGAGAGGAGCAATGACATAGAGTTGGCGAGCTCACAAACAAAAATCAGGCCATTGGTTTCTTTCAGTTTTAGGGTGAATGTAACGATTTGGATGCCTACTGTATTAATACAGGTTTCAGTGATCGCAATACAGATCGCAGGATGAAAACCCAAAATTTTGCCAATTTCCCTAATTACGTCATATATTTCACGGTTGAATAATTCTGAACATCGATTTGAGTGCGCAGTCACCAAGAGTTTTCGTAAATTTCTTTTTCACATATTATGTTACCATGCGTTTCTTTTTCTTTTCATTATCATATATACAAAATTGTTTGAGCATAATTTAATATTGATTACATAAACCATTATTGACAAGAGTTACTTCTTGATGAATTTCTAAATGATGTTTTGGCAAACTTGAACCGAAGTTTCAAGTGAGCTTCTTGATAACCTATGGTCCATCGTCTGTCTGTCTGTCCGTCTGGCAATTTTTCAAATTTCCGAATTCTTCTCTGATCCACTGGGCTACATTTAAGCAAGCTTGCTACTTAATATTCTTCAGTGAAGTGGTTTTAAGTTTGTCCAAATGTCTTGCAAGGGGATATAAACAAAAAAAAAAAAAAAGAAAAAAAGAAAAGGATGTGTCGTAAAAATCTTCTCAAAAACCATTGGGACCAGAAAAGATGAAACTCGTGTTCAAGTTTCAGTGAATGAATGTCTTAATATAAATTCAAATTTGTTTAAGTTGGACCCCAACTGTAAGGGTGAGGCCACAATTAAAGATGTAAGTGGGCTCACAAAAGATGATCAAGAAAAAAAATCTTTAAAAAAATTCTTGTAAAGTACAGCATGAAAATGATAAGTTATATTGAAAAATTATTCAACCATCCAGGTTGTATAGATTCAATTATGTTCAAATCATGGTCTCCTTAGGGATTTGGTAGCCCACTGTTCTTCAAAAATCTGGACCAAAATCAATCAGATGAGCGTCATGGCCCATTGGTCTCTCTTTTTATACACCCGCTCCGTAGGTGAGGGGGTATATTGTTTTAACCTTGAGTCTGTCCGTCTGTCCGTCTATCCGTAACAAATTTTGGTCGCAGTTTTCTAAGCAAGTACTCATTGCTTTTAACACAATCGTCTACGTCGCTGCTTTCTCAGCAACTGCTCATCGTAACTGTTTAATTTTAACACAAATTTCACTGAGGCATGCCATATGATTTGATTCATTTTTGTATAAATTTGATGTCAACTTCCTGTGCATCCGTGCGTCTGTCCGTTTCATACATAACAATTTTTGTCGAAGTGTTCTCAGCAAATACTTACTGCAGACGTTTGTCATTATAGTACGCTCTTTGTTAAGGCATACCATATGGTGGGATAAATTTTGTTTACCTCTGATGTCAACTTCCTGTTTATCCGTGCGTCTGTCCGTACCATATATAACTATAATTTTTGTCGCAGTTTTCTCAGCAACTACTCATTATAGATGCTTGAAATTTTAGCACATTTTGTTGAGGCTTGCTATATGGTGGGATTTATTTTTTAGGTGAATCTGATGTCAACTTCCTATTTATCCATTCATCTGCCCGTCACTGAACTTGTGTATATTAACATGATTGTGTATATTCACATCAGAGCGGGGGTATTACTATTGAGCATTGGCTCACAGACTTCTTGTTTTCCAGCTAGCACTACAATTATTAAGCAATCAACCAAGATGTCAGAGACAACCTTGACAGGAGGTAATTTTAAACCTATATTTTGAAGAACATAATCTATAGAGGGGATTTTTATTTCTCTCAAATAACAAGCACTAACAAGTTCTTAAAGAATTTTTTTTATAAAAAGTCTGAAAAGTTTGATAATATTCAAAATACTCAAAACGTGCCTGGTTCAGAGGTGGGTAGCTTATTTACCTGATATGCATTTACTTAATAAGGATGTTCGCACAGCAACAATTCTTTAAGAGCATTTGATAAAACCATATATATTGCATTTTCAAACTATTTTAACAACTTCAGGACTTTGTCTTTCAAAGTGCTTTAGTTGTCTTTTTTTCATAAGCATCCTTATTTTCTTATTGCTAATGACACATAAAGGTTAGCTTTAGTTTCATCAAAGAACACAAAATTGTCTTCAATATACATGTACCTTAAGCAAAGAGAATGTTTAAGGGCGGCGAAAATGGTAAAAATACCCACAATTTTATCATTTTCAAAAATGTATTGTAATACATGTACAATAAAACAGCTTTAAATCAAGAGACTTGATTGTAAAATCAACAGACTTAATCAGTTGCAAAACGAACAATCATCGATATAAAACCAGCAGTCATTACCAGAACTAGATTGCGGGCAAAAAAGATGAATCTAGCCCAAAATGAAAAGGTAGAGATCAGCAGGTTGAAACACAGTGT